GCTTCCTACTTGCCATGGATCCTAAGTCCTAAGCTCTGCTTGGAATCGGCTCCTTGATCTTCTTCTCAATGTCCTTGATGGACTTCTTCTTGTCCTTCTCGGTCATGGTGACCTGGCTTACGACCATGAGACCGGACGACACGGAAGGTCCTAATATTTTATAGCACGAAAGCTACCGGGAGAAGATGACTGCGCATCAGTGGCCCAACGGCGTCGTCTCCATTTCTTGTCCGTGGCGACTGCCGGTGGCCCAAATTTGGACATGCCCTCTCCGCAAGTAAAAGTCGTTACGTTTCTATGGGCTTTGCAGGTCAGCCACGCTCTTCTTGACTTCGATCTTGTTGCCGGCACCATCGAAGACCTCATCAGGGCCTCGGATGCCATTGCGAGAACTTTTCTTACAATTGCAAGGCACATCAAACCCCCGCCCCAGCACAAAGACTCTTGAAAACGCGACAAGCCTTACTGAAGCTTGTGCCGGGCCTTTGTTTGCATCGCCGTCATCCTTGGAGTTGTCGATAGACTCGCCCTCGATGCGCAAGCGGCCTGCCCTGCGACGTCAGAAGGCCGCAGCAAAGGGTGCTGGAAAACAATTCATGGTGTCGGAATATGTCGGAAGTTTTGGCAGCAATGTTTTAGATGAGCAGAATTTTCTCACTGCTGGCCTAACTTCAAGCACCTCTGGCAAGTAGGTTGCGTTTCTTCCGTGAGCAATGTTGACCACCAGGAGACTATCCTCGTGGCTATTCAAGGAGAGGCACTGCATGATCCACTTCTCGGTGGCCACGCTGTCGCAGAACTCCTGGAACGGCCAGATCATGTTGACTCTGTCCCCCAAGCTCAGTGCACAGTATCGGACACCTAATGAGACCTGGTTTTGGCATACTCTCTCTCTCTCTCTTTCTCTCTGTGGGTGGTGCACAGGTAAGCTCTGCTCTTGTTCCCGAGAGCGCGCAAGAGACCTCCTGGCCTTGTTGTGGGAGATAATGAGGACACCGCCCTTGTAATCCTTGATCGCCAGAACCAGGGCACCTGGCAGATCGAGCAATGCACCGGACGAGTACAGCGCAGGAATGTGCAGGAACTCTCCATCCGCCCTCACAGACCCACTGGCAGGTTCTGTTGCTATTCAGCTACGTAATCTTTGTCTCTCAAGCCACCCAGCCCGTCGCGATCCAGGTAGTTGGTCGGCCTGCCGTGTTGCCATGCTGCATCTGGCCGTATGATGCTGCTGATCCCTTCTACCACTTTCCGACAGCACTCTTCGACAGGTGTCTAAAGGGTATCCGAGTGGCTCGTCAAGGATGAGCACGTGCGGATTCTGCCACATGGCAGCCGCGAGGACGATCTTCACCTTCATTCCACCACCTTCGATGCGGGGGCCCTCGCATCAAACTTAAATGAGTTGAAGCATGTGAGGCTCGAGCTCAGCTGAAGATGCTGAAAACACTTCTGCAGCCCCTTGAGCAAAGTGGTTTATCTGGGCAGGGCGCTGAGCTGGTTGATCTGCGTGTGGCTTGCGGACTCGGCGTCGACGCCGAAGTCTGCCTCAGCGCCAACATGGCGCCAGGATGACTTGGTTTTCCTGCCACTTGCCGCCAAAGCACCAAGTGCTTCTCCACACCCGGCTGGGTGAGCTGCTTCGTCATCAGTCCTGCCATGGCAGCCTGACCTCAGCAAAAGCCGGAGTTTGGCACTCCACCATTTTTCCAGCAAAGGTTTGAACGGCTGGTTGCTAGGAAGTGGGACCATCGTGCCGAGCTGCGCTCATCCTCACGCTGAACGAGCTTGATGTAGCCCATCTTCACCAAGGTGTCTTTCTCCACCCAGGTGTTGTTTTCCATGGACTTGAACTGCCACTTCACCTGGCACAACGGGCCCTTCGCTCGGGTCACTCAGAGTTGCACTGTTGTGAAGTGTCAAGGTTTGGGGTTAAGCCGTAATACCGCAGGTCAAGGGTTTGGTGCTTTACTGTCTTGGATGGACCTTCGGAGCTCCAGAGCTCTTGTTGCCCCTAAATGTCCTAAACCCCCTAAATTCTTTGGACTCAAATGTCACGCGAGCACACTTTTTACGACCGAGGCAGCGGTCATGATCAGCGCGCCGTGGTCGTACCACAGCTTAGGCGAAAGACCGGGGGGCCTCAAAAGGCCGGCGGACTCCCGGTCGGAAAACCTTCCAGACCTCACCCGCGGGTGGCTGGAAACACGTGAAACTACACCGCGGTGCGCCTCCCCAATCTGCACCGCGGTGCGGGAGGGCACGGGCGGGGAGAAGCAAAAGCTGCGTACGTCATGACGTCCAAAGTAAATGTCATGCTGAGTGCGCGCCGTGGGTGCTCCTAACGCATGACAACGAAGAAGTAGCCCCCACCGCGGCGGAGGAAGGCGACGGGCCATTCCTAAAGGAGCTTCGGGAAAGTCGAAGAAGGAGCCCGCTAAGGAGCTCGAGGGCGATGGTCCGGGAGATGATCCACCGGATGACCCATGGATGACGATGGGGATGCTGAGTACGAAGCAGGGGAAGAAGGAAGCCGATGGAGGCAGATCCGGTGGAACCGGCCGTGGCCGAGGGAGATAGAGCTCAGCCGGCTGCGGCCGCACTTCAGCCCCGGCCTTGTGAAGAATGGGGCGTTGAAGCGCAAGCGCTCGGGCTCAGTGAGGATGAGGACACCCTCCGCGATTCCTTGGAGCACGCTGCAAGGAACGCAGCCGCGGGATGGTGGAACCTCAAAAAACTCCAAAGCGCAGTCACCAAGCTCCTTGAGAGGAAGCCTACTTGGGAACAAGTGTTGGAGTGGCTGACGGATGAGGGCAGGCGGTTCCCGAAACCGTTGGGGCAGCTGCCAGGGCGCGGAGCCCACCTCGGAACCAGACCTGCTCCCCGTCAGCGCGGATGAGGCTCTGGACGTGGAGGGGTGCTCACAGCTGGTGGTGCACGGCGCGATCCATGCCCTCAACTTCCACTACTGCCGTGGTTGGGTTAGCCCCGTGTGCTGGCCCCCTGCCGCTTTGATTCCTCGTCAAACCGAGGCAGTCAAGGGCCTGGGAAAGGCTTGTGTTGGGTGCTCCTCGTGGAGCGTGTTGGCGAGATAACGGCTGACCCTAGTGATCGGGGCGTGGCCTCAGGTAGGTGAGGCGGCTGTGGCCGAGGTTGTCGACTTCCTGGAAGGGGACGCCCGGGATGCCGTGATCAGCCCTCGCCTTCACTTCAAGAAGGGAGCTGACCAACGCCGTGCTTCACGGAAAGGGCGAGTTCACGCCACTCAAGAAGAATGGAACAAAGTGGTGGCGGCCGCTTTTGAGCGTAAAATGATGGGTCGAGGCCGCCATCCCTCGAGACTCCAGGGACACCTCATCACCAATGGGGCTGGAGCGGTGGAGAAGCGCAAGGTCGTGAACGGCAAGGAGGTGGTCACGCAAAGGCTTATCTCGGACTTTATCCCCAAGGGCAAACTCTCCTGATAGAGTCTGAGAACCTTACTTCAGCCTTCAACCTGTTCAAGCCTCCTGTCTTTCTCTCCCTTCTTGTCTTCTCCCTTCTTGCCCTTCTCCCCCTGGGTGGAGATTTGGAGCGGAGGTGGCTCGACGTCTTCTATGGGTTTTGCCCAACGGCCCGCCACGACATCTTCTGGCCCGCCTCCTTCACCTTTGCTCCAGGGCTAGCCGCTTCGTCGGTCTCCAGGAGAAGGCTGCCTTCTCTCTGCCTTGTTCTCAGCCGCAGCTGGGGGCGGCGGCTGGTTCCCACTTCAAATCCGCCGCCGCAGCGGGCTCGGATAACCACGCAGGCTGCTTGTCAGCTCCGTCCAGGTGGAACTCCATGTCAGGGTGCCTTTTAGACCCCCTGCAAGCGGCAGGGGCCTTGGCACAGACGTGAAAGGAGAACCACCTTTGCTCTTGAGAGCCCCTCTCATTCATCCAGCCACCACTGGATATCCATCGGACACCGCTACTATCGTGGCTTGAAACCACTCTCCGTAGCGTCCGGGATCCTCCCTCTCCTCAACTCGCACCAGGGCCATGCCTTGAGGCTGCCAGGCTGAGTCGAGCTTGAGCTTTCGGTGACCACTAACTACGCGGTCATCCTTCAAAAGCAAAAGCTGCGCATGTCATGACGTCCAAAGTAAATGTCATGCTGAGTTCGCACCGTGGGTGCTCCTAATGCATGACAACGACCCAAGTCTCTTTCGAGCGGCTTGCTCCTTCTTCTGAAATTCTCGAGTCTCTTTCGAGGGGTTTGCTCCTTCTTCTGAAATTCTCTCGTCTTTTTCGAGCGGTTTGCTCCTTCTTCGGAAAGTTTCTCGTGTCTTCCGAGCGGTTTGCTCCTACTTTTGAAATTCTCTAGTCTCCTTCGAGCGGTTTGCTCCTTCTTCTGAAATTCTCTAGTCTCTTTCGAGCGGTTTGCTCCTTGTTCTGAAATTCTCTGGTCACTTTCGAGCGGTTTGCTCCTTCTTCTGAAAATCTCTAGTCTCTTTCGAGCGGTCTGCTCCTTCTTCTGAGATTCTCTAGTCTCTTTCGAGCGGTTTGCTCCTTTTTTCTGAAATTCTCTAGTCTCTTTCGAGCGGTTCGCTCTGTCTTCTGAAACTCTCTAATCTCTTTTCGAGCGGTTTGCTGCTTCAGTCTCTTTCGAGCGGCTTGCTTCTTCTTCTGAAATTCTCTAGTCTCTTTCGAGCGGTTTGCTCCTTCTTCTGAAATTCTCCAGTCTCTTTCGAGCGGTTTGCTCCTTCTGAATTTCCCTAGTCTCTTTCGAGCGGTTTGCTCCTTCTTCT